GAGGAGACACGGCAGCGGCCGGCCCGGGCGGGGAAGCCAACGCCAACGGCTTGGGTGCATCTTCAGGCGACGGTGCCAGATGCAGATCTAAAATTAAACCCCATCCACAATGCCACAAAGCGAGGGCGGGCGCACCACAGGGCCAGGGTCTGGGCCAGCGGGTGGCGAAGGACGCGGCCGTGCACGCGGGAGCCCCGGGTTCTGCCCCAGCACCGCGAGGAAAGTCAGCGGCCGGGGAGACGGCCCGGGCAGGCACGGGACTGTCCCCCAGATCCCGGAGGGAGACAGACACGCCCGAGGGAAGGACAGAGCCACTTCCAAAAGCAGCCGGAGGGAGAGAGAAAGAGCGGGGAGAGAATGGATGGCGTATGTGGGACCTCGGAACCCAAGTACCATCCTCTGCTTGACTGAGAGAGCAACTGGCCGGGGCACCACGGCCTCTCGGTGCTGCTGGGGCAGCCCTGGTGGTGCCCAGCGCGGGAGGACCCCAGCACAGCCTTACTCATGGGCCGAGCACGGCACCTCGGCCCTCGGTCAGACACTGCCACAAGCGGGAGCACCTGACAGGCCCCCAAGCCCTGCCAGGAGTGACTCCTGAGCACGGCGCTAGGAGTCATCCCTGAGCACCGCTGGGGGCGGCCCCAAAGCAAACAAAGGCGTCCAAGAGTTGTGAGTCCTCTAGCCAAAGCCCCGAGAGCAACTACAAAAGCGGAGGTATCAGGCCAGAAGGCCACACCGCAGCCCGGACGCTCCCACCCGCACCGAGCGTCACTCCTCCCCGCGGATGCCGCTCTCCCGGTGGAAGGCTTCTGGCGTCCACTCCCAGGCACGTCCACAGAGACACCAAGCCGATTCGAAAATGTTTTCACGACTTGCGCAAAGGGTCAAGGTACTCTCGCCTGAGAACAAAGGTGGAAAACTTCCAGGATGAGGCAACAAGATTCCAGCCCGGCAATTGAGGAAGCGTGATGTTCGCGGAAAAAAGACGAGAAGACTGACAGAGACCCAGAGAACAGCCGTGATGTGGCGACTACGTGGTCACGAGCTGCAGCCCCGGGCTCCCACGTGTGTGCCACACGGCAGCTCTGCTGTCTCGGGTCCTGAGCTCTCCAGGTCTGCCAGCTGCACCGCAGCTGGAGCTGTGACGCCCTGGCGCGTGTGCACGGGCACTGTGGCGACCCCCACCAAATGCGTGGCCCTGCCAAGGAGCAGCGACGCCAGCAGGCAAGAAAGGGCAGGGGAGGGAATGAAAAACAAGAGGTGCGGGGCTGGAGAGATGGCACAGCGGGGAGGGCGTTTGCCTTGCACGCGGCCAACCCAGGTTCGATTCCCAGCATCCCATAGGGTCCCCCGAGCACCGCCAGGGATAATTCCTGAGCGCAGAGCCAGGAGGAACCCCTGTGCATCGCTGGGTATGACCCAAAAAGCAAAAAAAAAAAGAAAGAGGCACGGGTCGAGCGTGAGCACAGCGGGCATCGACCCGGAAGGAGAAAGAGCCAGGCTCCATCTCCGGCACCCGTACGGGTCCTCCTCAAGCCCGCCAGGAGCAAGCCCTGAGCACTGCCTGGTGTGGCCCAGCCCCAGACCCCAAAATAATAAAAACAACAATAATAACAATAATAAAATAATGGCGCAGCGGGGAGCCTAGGAAACCACAGGGCCTCTCCACTGTGACAGAGAGGACGGAGGGCCCCGATTCAAGGACAAACCACCCCTCGGCCCCATGGGTCCTTCCAGCCGGGCGTGCCGGGAGGGAGACGGGAGGCACTGAGTGGCCAAGTCTCCCGGTGGACACGAGGGGCGGCAGGATTGCTAGAGACACGGACCAACTCTGCCACATTCGAGTAGAAACTTCAGGGCTGGAGCCTGGAGACAGAGTTTGGGGGTCACGCGCTTGTCTTGCACACCGGCCCCTGGTTCAATCGTTGACCAGCACCAAGAGCGACCGCTGGGCACTGCCGGGTGTTCCCCACCACCACCAGAAAGGGGGAAAGAACAAAGGCTTCGGGGCCAGGACACGGCTCAGTGGCAGAGCTCAGGTGTCACATGTGTGTGGTGACAGTTCCCCAGCCCCGCAAATGGGCCCTGAAGCACTGCCAAGGGTCACTCCTGAGCACTGAGCCCGGAACAGCCCGAGTACCTCCAGGTGTGACCGTGAAACAAGAAAGAAACCCAAAACCCAAACACCCTCCCCCACAAGACGCACCGACGCCCAGGAAGAATAACTGGCCCTGTGTCTACACGTGTCCCCGGGCAGGTGGGAAGTCGCGTGGGGTCACACCACCAGGAGGGAGGAACCCCAGGAGCATTTTGTTCTCGACCCAAAAGCAAGGAACCACCACCAGAGAGAGAGAAGAGAAAGAAACCGAAGTCTGCTGCCTGCCCAGACCTCAGGCAGGGGCTCCACATGCCTCCTGGACCCTGCCATGTGGGCCGCCAAGCGGACCAGAGCCAAGAGAGGGGCGGCCTGTCAGTTGGCACGGGCGGGGCACTCGCCACAACAAGCCGCTTCAGGCCCCGACTCCCACACCCCCCGCCCACTGCCCGGCCAGCCCGGCCCCTCCCTCTGCCTGGGGTCACCACGCACTCACGCGTGCCTGGGCGACTCAGCGGTCCCGAACGCCAGCACCATCCGGGAGACGGAGACGGACCGGCCCACACCTCTTACATAAACACATCAGCCGCATCTTGGGATGCCAAAATCTGACCCGAACAAACACGTCCATTCGCGGCACTTGTGAGAGAAATGACTTCACGGAGAAAAGAATCTTCCGTCTCATCAGTTTGATAGACCAGCTCTAGGAGGGGGGCTCAGCGGGCCGGGCATCTGCCCTGCGCGTGGGGACCCAGGCCCGACCCCCAGCACCACAGGAGTGACCCCTGAGCCCAGAGCCAGGACGAAGCCCTGGACACCGCTGGATGTGGCCCCAAAACAAACCAACCACAAGCATCCCTAGAAAATGTAGCAAAGGCAGAGAAATACCCGTACAGTGCAAACACAGACTGTAAAATGCACAGCCAAGAAAGACAGCCCATGTTCATGGATTTGAAGAATATGTTTAAACCGTCCTCGTTCCCTAAAGTTATTTACGAGCTTAACGTGATCCCTCTGAAAACCACCATGGCATTTTTCAAATAACCAAACCAGCTCTGAAATTTCTACCACAAAGAGCCTGATGGGCCGAGGAGTTCTAAAAGAAGAAGGAAAGTGAAGTATTCAGACTTCAAACTCCAGGAGCCGGTAAAAATGATCAAAACAGCGTGGCACTCGAACAAAGACACAGCCCACAGGAACAGCCTGGGAGCCACAGACGGGCCCACAGGTCTGGAGACAGAGGCCCGGACTGCCCACAGGGCGCCCAGGCCCCGGAGGAAGGAGAGCCTCGGGCAAGGGCTGTGCCACCCACTGCCACAGGCCAGAAACAGACCCGAGCTCACCATTCTCACACCAGCCAGAAATGTCACCCCCAAAGGGGTGTGAAATCACACAATATGACAAGAATGCAGGTGACACCCTCCAGAGCGTTGGCCACAGAGGTGTCGCGAGTATCGCAGGGAAGCCAAAAGGATTCCCACTGACCAGGTGGGACCCTCCACGTGGGGTACCCGCCGACGGGTGAGACACTCCACACCCCACAGGGGTGCACATCCAAAGAACTTGTCTGACTCAACAACAGAACAAACAACGCCACGGCCAAGCGGACTGATCCTGGGAAACAGTTCTCCGAAGCGCGAAGTCAGCCAACAAGCACGCAAGGAAACCCACGGATTCCCTCGGAAGCGGGGAAACGCGCGGGACAGCCACGATGAAGCGGCACCTCTGAGGACAGCCGGGCACGGCAGGGCTGCACCCGGCCTCTGCTGGTGCAGATTCAGGGGAAAAGGAGGCCGGAACACCCACACTTCTGGGGGGACCGGAAATGGGGGTGCCCGCTACGGAACACGAAGGGAGATTCCGAAAGACACGGATGCCGGGTCGCCCGCAGGGGCCAGCAACGCCACTGCTCGCTGTCCCAGAGAACAGCAAAACTCACTTGGAAAAGAAGGGTCCACACGCACACACGCGCGCACTCACGCGGCCTCAGTGGGCACACCAGCCCCTCCATGGCCAGCCCCCGCCTTGCCCACAAGCTGGTGGAGCCTGACTGAACCGCAGGGCCAGGGCGGCCTGGCCTCCCCGATGCGGGATGCCCACGAGCGAAGCGACTGGCCCAAGGACAGGAGAAGGCCGAGGGGCTGCCCAGCCCGTGAATGGCGCTAGGCCCCTGCAGCGGCAGGGCCTGATTTCAGGGGCCCCCCAGAGCTGCACGGCCGAGGGGCATTGGGGACCAGACCCCAGCTTTCTGAAGAAAAGCTAATCCGACATCTCTGAGCCAGGGCGGCCGGGAGCGGTCGCGAAGGCAGGATTGCGGCTAAAAGGAAACCCAGACGCCTGGCTTATCTCTCGCGGGAGCCCTGACCGCGGCCCAGGAGTCTCTGCTCGCTTGCCGATCCCCACCGAGCCTCCCTGAGCCACCCGGGGGCCACTGACCTCACACTTGCCCCATCACTCTCCCTGCACCTATCATTAAAGCCTCCGCGAGAAAAGCCTTTGAATGGGCTCCAGATCGGGTCCGTAATCTCCGCAAGATGCTGAGATTAACGCTCGCCGTGTGCTTCAAAGCGCCGTGGAGCTCATCGGTCACGGAAAGTCCCCCAGGAACCAAGCGCCTGGCCCGGCCCCGGCCCGGGGGGTCTGGTGGGAGGACACTGCTGGTATCCTCCAGGACCACCACCCCGCGGAAAGACGGCACCGCCCAGAGACGGGGTGCGTGCGTGCACGCTGCAGGCCGGCCCCAGTGTTCAATTTCCCCCCTCGCCATCGACCTTCACCTACCTGGGACCTCCAGATCCGGGACCGGCTGTGCCAGGAGGGTCTTGGCCCCACCCTCCCGGAACCCACCCTCGCCACCAGCCCCGTGTGGTGCGGTGTGGTGCGGTGTGGTGCGGTGTGTACGTACCTGCGGGAGCGATGAAGTCAGCTGCCGCTGCAGGGAGTCCCGCTCGTGGCCGACCTCCTGCAGCTTGCCCTGGGTGAGGGCCAGCGTCTCCTGGGTCTCGCGCAGCGTGTCCAGGATGCGGTCCCGCTCGTCCAGCATGGAAACCATGAGCTGCTCAAACTGGGAGTCGTTGTCCAAGGCGGGGGACTCGGTGTCCTGGCTCCCGCCGCCACCGCCGCTGCTGCTGCCGCCGCCGCCCAGGGGGCTCTCGGTCTCGCTGATGGTGGGCATCACCTCGCACATCATCTAAGAGGACGGGGCCGGCGGGGGTGGAGAGGGGCGATGGGTCAGGCGGGGAGGCAGAGGCAGCCTCACTCGGCTCCGGTCTCGGGGTCGGCCGGGCGCACAGGCACGGGTTAAGCGGGAGAGTGGACCCGCGCTGGGCGCTGGGCGCTGGGTCCCGAGTGACCACACCGCGCGGCAACCATCCCCCTGGCCCCGGGGCGGCGCCCACCCCCAGGAATTCTGTTTACAGAGCGGAGAAAAGCGTTCTCGGCCACTTCCCGGTGTGGGGGGGGGGGGGAGAACCGCCAGCCAACGGCCACCCGCACCCCGGGGTGCCGCTCGTGGGGGAGGGGCGGGGGGAGCCAGACCCGACCCGACCCCGTCGACCCGCAGCCGGGGCGCCCGCGGGGTCACCGCTGACAGAAGCCCCCGGACGGGGCCGGGCCGGGCGGGCGATCAGGTGTCGGCGGGGGCGCGGGGCCGTCCCCGGGGCAACGGCCACCGCGGCGGGGCGGGCGGGCGGGAGCGGGGGGCCGGGCCGCCTGCCCGCCCCGCGGAGCCCCCCGGGGGTCGCGCCCGCCTTGGGGGCGCGGGGGGACGGAGCCCCCCCCCCCCACCCCGCCGCCGCGCGCTCCCGGGCCCGCGCCCCCGCGCTGACCTCCGACCCCGCGCCCCCGCCTGACCCCGGCCGCGCGCGCGGGCCCGGGCCGAGCCGAGCCGCCGCCAGCGCCGCCGCCCGCGCCCTCACCTTGCCCGGCGGCGGGAGCCGCGGCTGCTCGGTGCGGGCGACCCCGCGCCCCGCCGCCCGGCCCGCCCCCACTCAGCAAGGCCGGCCCGCGGCCGGACACTGGCACTCGGCGGCGGCGGCGGAGCGGGCCCGGCCGGCGGCGCGTCGCCGGCGTCAACGTGCCCGACGTCGGGCGCGTCGGCCGCGCGTCACCGCCGCGCGCCGCCGCCGGCTGGCCCCGCCCCCGCCACGGACGGCCCCGCCCCCGTCCCGGATGGCCCCGCCCCGGATGGCCCCGCCCTCGCGGCCGCCATTGGTGGAGGCGGCCCGGCCCCGCCCCCGCCCCGGATGACCCCGCCCCCGTCCCGGCCGGCCCCGCCCTCGCGGCCGCCATTGGTGGAGGCGGCCCGGCCCCGCCCCCGGAGGCCCGCCCCCGGGGCGCGCGAGCACCGCCTCCGGGGCGCCGCCATTGGTGGAGGCGGGAGGCCCCGCCCCCTCCGGGCCCCGCCCCCGCGGCCCCGCTCTCGGTTCGTGGGGGCTGCACCTGCGCGTCCCGCGGTGCCCCCCACCCGAGTCCCCCGCCGCTGCCGCCGCCGAGGGCTGCAAAGGTCGGGGCCGGCGTCCGCTGTGCGTCACGCGCGGAGCCCCGCGCGGCCGGAAGTGGCGTCTGCCCGCCCTCCCGGGGCTCAGATCCCTGGCAGGCAAGGTGCTCCCGCCGCCCCGAGCACGCCCTGGCCCTTTTTGGGTCATACCCAGGGTACGCACGGACCCTGCTGGGCCCCCTGCACCTGGCGAACACCAGCTGCCTTTGATTTTTGAGGCTCCTGGCTTTAGATGCAGGGGGGAAAAAATCTACCGGATTGGAGCGTGGGGCTGGGGCAACCTCGGGGAACTGGGATTTGGTGCCTCTGCAGGACCGGGAAAGGGTGCAGGAATGGGTGCTGGGGGGGAGGGGCTAGTTGTCGCATAAAACCACCTTTAGTTAAGGGACCCGGAGGACCAGCTTTTCTCCAGGGAAGTGCCCAGGCTTCCTTACTGCGGTCAGCCACTCTGGAGGGAAGCAACCTGTGAGTCTCCGGTCCCGGTCAAGGCGGGGAGGAAGGGAGTGCGAGAACCCAGGTCTGGACCAGCCCTTCTTGGCGGGAACACTGAAACAGGTGCTCCCTCCGGCCGACCGGGCTGCCAGGCCCAGGACCACATCCTCCTTCATCCCACCCATCTATCCATTCACTGACTAGTCACACCTACGGATAAATTCTGCATCCCTCATCCTGGATCCCGAATGGAGGAAACTCCAGCCACCCTCGCTCAGTACCACCTTAACCTGAGCTGGTTCTCCAAAGAAGAGTGGAATTCCACACCGGGAAAAGAGAAGCCTGCGCAGTGTCCTTCCCGGGCCGTGGTGCCAGCCCTATCGTGTCACTCCCAAGGTTGCAAAAGCAGTCGAGAAAGCTCAAAAGCCACCGACGTGGCCAACGACAAGTCCTGGGTTAATTCACAACCAGGCGCCCAGCCCGGCTCAGGCAACTCTGTCTCCCCAGGCAAACTTTGCCTCCTGACCAGGAAGGGAGTCACACCTGCTTTTCTCCAAGCTCAGAGGGCACAGGTGTAAAGTGTGTCCTAATTATTATTAATGGTTTGTTTGGGTTTGGGGGCCACACCCAGCTGTGCTCAGGGCTTACTCCGGACTCTGCACTTAGGGATACTCTGATAGGGCCCAAAGCGAGCCTGGTAGCCTCCACCTTTTTTTTTTTCATTTTTGGGTCATACCCAGCGATGCACAGGGGCTACTCCTGGTTCTGCACTCAGGAATCACCCCTGGCGGTGCTCAGGGGACCATATGGGATGCTGGGAATCGAACTCGGGTCAGCTCCGTGCAAGGCAAACGCACTACCCCACTGCACTGTCTTAACTCGTGTACCACACTGACCCCGTGTGCTAGTAGCATGGACACTCCAGGGCTGTTGGGGGAAGAAAATCACTTTGGCAAGGGCATCACCAAGCACCTCGCCCACGAGCCCTCACTGAAGTGTGGCCTTTGTTTTAGCCTCTTCCTCTGAGAGCGTGGGCTCTGGGGAGCGGAGGGGCTGGGGCTGGAACCCAGGGCTGCCCCACGGCCATTGTTCCTGACGCCCCCTCAAAAAGGAGACCCCCAATTCCCAAAGCCAGGGACAGGGCACCTTGACCAGTGCTGGGTCACCACACTGCTCCTGGTGGCCTGTGGCACCTGGCAGAGATGTGCTCTAAGATGTACCCGGGGACCCTGGCATGGCCACACACAGCACTCAGCCGGGGCTGTCCCAAGCTGCCTGCCGGGTGCCAGGCGCTCCGCTCTGTATAATTAAGCTTTATGAGATTTTATTATTTTACTTTTTTGCAGAGCCCAGGACCAAACTCAGCTCTCCCGCCCTCCAGGCACGAGCTTTCAACTACAGCAACACCCGCTCTTGTGTAATTAAGATTTTACTTGGGGGTGCTGGGAACCAAACCCTGAGTGCTGAGCCGCGCTCCGGGCCCCCGTCATTACAATCATTATTATTATATTATCCTGTTGGCTTGGGGCCACCCCCGGTGGTGCTCAGGTGCTTACTCCTGGCCGGTTTGGGAGACCAGATGGGGTGCAGGGATGGAACCTTGGTTGGCCGCGCAAAGCCAGCTGGCGGCATATTGCTCTGGCCCCTATGGCCAGGAGCTTCTGATTTTTTTGTTTTTTTTTTTTTGCTTTTTGCTTTTTGGGTCACACCTGGCAATGCACAGGGGTTACTCCTGGCTCTGCACTCAGGAATTACTCCTGGCGGTGCTCAGGGGACCATATGGGATGCTGGGAATCGAACCCGGGTCGGCCGTGTGCAAGGCAAAAGCCCTACCCGCTGTGCTATCACTCCAAGCCCCTGCAGGAGCTTCTTGACAGCTGCCTTTGGCGGTGACTTCTGTGGTGGCTGCATCGTTGAGAACTTGAGGTCACTGCAGCCCCCTGTGCAGCCCCACCCACCCCTCGCAGCACCCCCCCAACCCGCTCCTCGGGGGCTCCCCACAGCTCAGTGCTCATTTTCCCTTGCGGCCCAGCCCGGGCCCAGCCCCAGCTGCACACCTGTCGGACGCAGCTAACAGCACACGGCCGACCATGCTGGGACCTGAGGAGACACGGCCGGAAATGGGAGGTGGCCGCCCTGGCACACTGCCCAGACCACTGACTGCACCAGCTGGCACCCTGCCCAGTCCAGTCACCGTTTCCCTCCTGGAAAGGCACTTGGGCACACTGGTCCTCCCCCTGTGGAGCAGGAGGGACTGCTGAGTCACTTCACCCTGCTTTGGGCACCTGCTGGGCTCTCTTATCGTCGGCTGAAATGCTGGACCTGGAGGAGAAGCTGAGCCAGGCCCTGCTGGCCCCGCAGGCAAGGTTCTACCCGCAAGGTACCCACCTCTGACTTCCGGGAGAGTGTTCAAAGACTCACCTTATGCTCCATTGGGAGTCTCTGGGGATCGGTGGCCTTTAGGTCGCCCAAGTGGTGCTCCCTAGTGTCATGGGTTTGGCGGAGTCCTCCCTGGACACCTTTAGAAGAAGTGGACTAGTCAATAAAGATTTTGCAGCGAAAGGAAGAAAGAAAGAAAGAAAGAAAGAAAGAAAGAAAGAAAGAAAGAAAGAAAGAAGGCAAAGTGGTAAATTTTATGCTAAACTGATCTTGCCACGGTCACGGTCACGGTCCTCCCGTTGTTCATCAATTTGCTCGAGCAGGCCCAGTAACGTTTCCAATCGTGAGACTTATTGTTACTGTGTTTGGCATATCAAATACGTCACGGGTAGCTTGCCAGGCTCTCCCATGCGGGCGAGATGCTCTCAGTGGCTTGCCGGGCTTGCCACAATAATAATAATTTGGGGGGCCACGCCCAGCGATTCTGAGGGCTTACTCCTGGCTCTACGCTCAGGGATCACTCCTGGAAGTGCTCAGGGACCATAGAGGATGCCGGGGATTGAACATGGGATGACGGCATGCAGAGCAAGCACAGTATCTGCTATCACTACGGTCCTGAAATAATTTTAAAGAGCAAACCTGTCCTCTAGTATGGCCCAATTCAGGAAGGATCTGGACCCGGGCCGGAGCCAGGCGGAGCCAGGCCAGCTCTCCTGGGAGACAGAGGGTGGAGATGACACAGTGACATGGAACTGTGATTGAGAGACATGGAGGGCGACAGCGGCCAGACATGAACCTTGGCCTTGGCTGGGGAAAAGCATCGCCAGGGAAAAGGGAAACCGAAGCCGAAGTCAATGGGGCCCACATCAAATCAAGAAGCT